GCCCCGTCCGGCTCCCCCAGCCCGGGTGCTCCCAGCAGTCAGCCCTCACGGGTGGGCTAGAGCAGGGCACGGGGTCTGGGTCCTTCCGTCTTGCTGCTGTGACTGATCTCTGGTTGTCAATGAACCGGTTTAGAAGTTGGGTGCAGGCTGCAGCACCTCCCTGGTGCTCTGTGCTTTCTCCTTCTATGTTGGCCATGTCGGGTGCAGAAGGGGGCTGAAACCAGCTCTGTGCAGTCCATGGGAGATGGGATGGGGCTGTGCCTCCGTAGCCCTGCGGTGCCCACGCTCTGCCGTGGCACGTGTGCCCTCTGGGGCCACCGCCAACCCTGCACGTGTGGCCTGTGACCCTGTCCCCACAGCTGTGCACCATCACGGGGACAGCAGGAGCCTGCCCGAAGGGGAAGGGCTGTTTCTCCCCATGTTTGGCTGTCTGGTTGGTGGGGTGGATTGTTTTCCTTCCTGCCTTTCGGGGTGTCACCCTGTTTTCATCTGACTGACCGATTGCTCCATTGCAGGAAAGACAGCGCTGTTGCACGCCCTGGCCAGCAGTGACGGTGTCCAGATTCGCAACACCGAGAGCATCCGTCTCCTGTTGGAAGGAGGTGAGGGCAACCTTCTCCCCTCCCCGTGCACAATCCCTCCAGGCTTAGCGCTGGCTGATTCTTCGTACAGCACCGGGGCACTGCCTTCTCAACTCTTTTATGTTCCCACTTGAGCAAGAGTAAACCCTAGCAGTGCCGGGGTTAGCGCTGTCCTGGCCTCGTTGTCTGCAATGTCAGTTACGTTCTCTGTCCCTTCCTCCAGGTGCGGACGTCAGAGCCACCACCAAAGAAGGTGACACTGTCTTCACCTACATCATCTTCCTGCTGGGAGAGATGGTGTGCAGCAACACTGAGGAGGCACAGGTGACCAATCGCTTCTGCTTTCGTGTCACACAGCTGCTGCTGGCCCACGGTGCCAACCCCAGCGAGTGCCCGGCCCCCGAGTCCCTCACCCACCTCTGCTTCAAAAGCTTCAAACGCCACTTCCCGCTGCTGCGGTTCTTGCTGGAGTCGGGTGCTGCCTACAACTGTTCCCTCCACGGTCCCTCCTGCTGGTCAGGCTTCCACATCGTCTTCGAGTGCCTCTGCTCGCACCTTAGTGTCTCCGAAGATGACAGCTTCTCTACAGACCTCATCCAGAAGGGTCAGACTCTGCTGGAGCTCATGATGGCCAGTTCACAAGCCATCCAGCTGCCCAGCAACTTTGAGGTCAACACCAGCAGCTGTAGGTACCACGGGGAGAAGATCAGGACTCTCTTCTGCTCTCTGAAGCAGCTGGAGCGCTCCCCACAGGCATTGAAACATCTCTGCAGGGTGTTTATCCGGCAGCGCCTTAAACCGTGGCCAGTAGATGTCAAAATCAAGGCTCTACCTCTTCCAGACAGGCTGAAGTGGTACCTCCTCATTGACCACACTGCTGCCGGGCACGAGGACCTCTGAGCCTAACTAATGCCTCTGCGTCTCCCCCCCCTCCACAGGCCATGGTGTGCCTACAGCCACTAAATCTCTGCTCTGGGCCAGTTTTCTCCGCAAAAGGTGGACTGTCCACACGCTGTCCACGCGCCCACAGCTTGGCCAGCGCTGCCCATGGTGTCCGTCTCTGCTGCGTTTTTGGGGGGTGTGCTTTTTTGAGCATGACGCTGCGTGTACGTCTGTGGAGGCCTTGTTGCTCCGGGGCACATGGTGGGGAAGGGGGGCAGAGCCCCGTGGTTCCTGGGGGTGAAGAGAGCCCCTGGGCATCGGGGAGCCGGATACTGGGGCAGAGGGCTGGTTTGTGTGGATTTTAAGAAAAAGATTTTTAAGAAAAGGCCTGGCGGGCAGGACCGGTGGGGCGGTTGGGGTGGTGTGACTGGACAGGCAGCCTGTCCCCTCTCTTTCCAGCCCTGCCGGGTCCTGGGTGGGTGAAGCAGTGCCTTAGGCGAGCGGCGGAGTCGTGAGATGCTTCGGGGTGCTGGGAGGAGAGGTGTTCCCCATGCCCGGAGAGCGCTGGCATCCGTGTCCTGGTTTTCTGCCTTTGGTCCCGCTGGTGTGAGCGGCCGTGGTGG